TCCAAGGCTGTAACAGAAGACCATTTTTTTAAATCTTTATTCCCCAAAGTATATAATTAAGCAAGGAAAAAATTCCTGCGTCCTGAAAATAGGCATAATATGGACTGATTGATTATTTTATACGACTTTATGGAAACACAAACTCATATTTAAGTATTAATTAATAATAATTCAAATAAATATTTTAGGTGTTTTAATTATTAATGTATTTCTATAAATAATTATGCAAGTATCTAGAAAAGAAACATAGAAACTACCAACGATTCTATGCGTTTATTACTGCTTCAACTGCAATATATTTCTGAGATGACATTGATCAATATACATAGTCACTTTAGATACATGGGTGTGAGAAATAATTGAAAGGATGAGCTTCGCACCGTTAATTTCAGTGATAAATTCATATTTCTTGATTTACGAACGAGTATAAGGAATTCTATCTGCGGAGAATCTATTGGATAGATATGTACTATTCGCCTCAAATTTATGCGTTTTATAACACTTGTACTGAATAAATATTTGTGTATAAACACATCAACTTCAACATAATTTTTATCTAATAATGCACTCTTTATGTTACTTTTTTTTAATCAGATTATTTGAAAATTACCATATTAGATTGGTTTTTACGTGTGCACTGCAAAAATGTTGGTGCATAGTTTAACTATTTTTGGTGTTCAAGTAAAAAATGATTTTTTACAACGTATATAATCACATTTTCTTACATATTTCTTCCTTTGTTATAGTTTTATTTACTTATTAATTTATTTTCTGTTTGCACGTTAACTAACAACACATATTCTCATACGCATTTCACTGTCAGAAATTCAAGATCAAATTACGGTATAAAGTACCGATATTTTGGGTGCTTCATTCGCAAACTCCATTTTATTGTAATATCTACTTTTACCATGAAATATATTTTACCCTAAAATATTATATCGTGATTTTTACAGTAATATTTAATCAGAGTTTTCAATTGAATTATTACTTTAAAAACTACAGTATATCAAATTTTTTTTGTAATATATATATATATTACAATGTTTTAAATAACTCATTTTTACGTGTGTGAGGCTAAAATCTTGACTATAGTAATGTCGACTATTTTCCGACTAACTAGAGTATTCAAATATTTTGAGGCTCTAAACCTGACAATAATGTTAGTTTTAATCATTTATTAAGTGCTACAAAAATACATTTTTTGTAACATTAGTCACAAGGAGAAATTACAGTCAATCAAAATGCAAATCCCTTTCTGATTAGCTATACCACTCAAATTTTAACCTGAACTCTTCGCTGAATGACAGTACAAGTAGAATTTGTTGCATTCCCAAATAGATAGCATATTTAAATCGGCACTGCTTTCTAGGTTACTATAAAAATTTTAATCGTTTCCTAATCTCTGGGAATTATCCAAAAATAGAATAACACGTAATTTATCCCAAAATAGAATTTATCGCCAATTATAACTTATTACACTTTTCACTTTCCGATTTATTAGAGCTCTCAAAATTTAGCTGGAGCTCAGTCTTTCATGGTGATGTAAGCAACAATTATTTCTTAAGGTGCAAGCAAAATTCATCGTAAATAAAATTTCAATCTCTTCCCGACACAAACAAGCAGACATAAAACTAAAAGGAAGGAAATAATAAAATAAAATAAAACATCGAAAATTATGTTGTTGTTTTTCTCAGTAAAGAGGGGAAATAATTCAAATTTTTGTCAGTCGTAAAAGGGCAAGCGTAGGGCGCAACACTTTAAAACTTCTATCATCACCAAAAAAATCTCCTCTCACGTGACTTCAATGTTCATTCTATTTTTCGTTTTCGGTCTAACAAGAATAAATCGTTGTCCTCTTCTGAGTACTCGTGGAAAAAGAAGGGTTTTTTTTAAATTTCATTAAGAAAAGGAATTATGTTTCAAAATTTGTAATAAAATAAGCATGACCTAAATTATTTTATAGATTCTAATATCAAACGTATTGCACTTCCAAACATATTTCAAATTTTTATTATTCTCTTTTTTTCTAAAGCGTTACTTCTTTAAATGATTTTCATTCTCTACATGAGTATTTGGTGTCAGCTTTATAACTAAAATCAAGTTTATTAAATTTCTCAATCTCGTAACCTGTTCATGTTTTTTCCATTATTTTAAAATTTCATCTCCTCTTACAAATGAAACAGTTATTTATTTTAATAAGATATTGTTTGTTATGTCCTTTTTTTCCTAATTTGATATAAATATTTATTTCAGTTCATGACTCGTCATTTTTTCACTGTGTCTAAATTTTTGCAAGAAGACACAGCACTCATTTGAATTATTTATCTTGTGAGAAAAGCATTTCACTTCAATATAAAATAAAAAGTTCTTGATCAAAAATTAATCTTAATTATCTTAAGACTTTATTCAATATTGTAGACATTCGAATTACAAAATATTGTAAAATTTTTGTATCATAACAGGCAAAATAGTTTTTCTAATCGTTAGTATCATTTTCGTTTATCGCAATCTAAACGTGTAAAATACCGTCATTTTATTTGTGATGAGCGTAAATTAATCATATAAATGCATGAATACTACAGTTTAGCGAGTTTTAATCATTATAAATTAAAAAGTGCTACATTAGCATTAAGTTTTATTTAGAAACATAAAATTACAATGTCATCTACTAAATAACAATATTTATTATTTAACAATTTGTGTCATTATTTAAGACCATCTAACCATATTATCGTTTACTTTAAAAAGTAGGATTTAGTGTACATAAAAAAGTAAAATTTAAAGTAATTGAAATAATAGCATGTCTTTAAACGAAACATAATTCTGGAACATAAATAGGTTAATTTAATAATCTTTTAACAATAGCTGGAAACGCACATCAAAAAAAAAAAATTATAACAGAAAACATTCTAACAAAAAAGCGGAGACACGTATCCCACTTGTGAACGACTAACATCGCATCGTTTCATGTCACTTTATCCAATTTGCTGAACACGTGGAGCTTTGTTTCATAAGGAGTAAAATGGGTAATAAAAGCTGAGTAACTAGAGCTACTGTTATATATCAATCAACTGTAGAACAACTAAGTTATTGTAATTAACTGAATTAAGTTTTATGAGTTTACACAATGCGTCTTATAAGTACATAATTATAAACGAACAAAAATGTGCCTAGAGACTAATCTCGCAATTATATCTATTAAAATCTGCAATATCAACAATGGTGTGTTTATCAGTCAAAAATGGCATATTTAAGGGAAAATTAAACTACCACAATGTATGAAAAATTACATTATCAAAGACCCATAGATTTTAGTTTATAGCGTCTTAGGTTATATTATCAATAACATTATTTTTGGCATGCATAAAGCATATCTAAGTCAATTTAATTAAACTCTATGCGAGTTATAAGCACATTATAAATGATGAAAAAACCATGTTTAAAAACCAATACTTTTGTTTTCACCGAGTTCCAAACACCACCATTTTTTAAAGCAAATAATTTTCAGGGGAAAATTAGTTTAAGTAAAATGTTGTACAAGAACATGAGTAAAATAAACAAAAACCTGCACTGAGTAAGAAAGTATGGTCAAAACTGCCAGAATATGATAAGATTTACCGTCTTTTTGGATCTAAGCGAACACCAAAAAAGCAAGGTAATTTTTACTGAAGCACTTTGGTAATGGCTTTTGGTAAAACTAATAAAAAAATATGATTTTATTACCATGTTGCTTGGTAGTAAATTTGGTAAAATTGGGTAGTTTGATCAAATCTTACAGCATGGCATAAAAACCATTTATTCTGTTTAATTTACTTTTCAATTTTGTATTTCTACTAAATGTGGGCAAAAATTTAAAATTTCAAAAATTTAGAATTTCAGGTAAAAGGTTACTATACTAACTGAAAAAATACCAAATGAATGGATTAAATATTGTATATTTTGGTATTATTACGCCGAATTATTTTTTTATCAGAAATTTTCATTCCTATGCATGTATGGTAATTTAATCAGAATTTTTTTCTCTATGTGCTTAAAGATTAATTTCCTTGCTTCCACCATTCATTTGAAATTTTCAGATTTAAAAACATTTTAAAGAAACATAAGAGACGCATGCAAAGAAAATTAGGTTTGCTCAAAATATTAACGAGTATTAATAAAACGTAAGAAAAAGCGTAGAATTTTAAGTTTCGCATTTTTGTTCTTTTAGATTTAGATCTTTTTTTTTAAAAAATTGCATCAAGAGGCTCTACTTGCTGTGATACCAAAAATACTAAATCGTTTTGCTAGAATATGTAATTAACAGAAAATAATCTTTATGTTAATTTATATTACTATACCAAAAGTAAATTACATAATAATTTGAAAATTTATATTTAATTCCGAATAATGTATTGCTTATATTCATTTCAAGGGTTATTTTAATTACATACATGGGATGAAAATAATAATCATGAAAACAGATCAAAAATAAAAGAAGGAAAATATTTCTTTCCATTAAGTATTTTTTTTAACCTGAAATAAAGTTTTTTGTTCTTCAATTGAATCTAATATTTAACAAAATTGAAATCAATAATAAAACTCGAAACAATAATATAGTTTAAAGTTGTCTCCTTTTATTTTTCTATTGTTTAAAAAAATTTTTTCCTCGTTAAAAATTTTATAGTCATATTTCTTGTCATTCATCACATTTTTAAAGCATTCAACAGCTCTCTAATCAACTTAAAGTTTTTAAATTTTTGAATTAAATGCCTATAAGGCATACATTTTATTTAAGTTAAATAATAAAAACAATTCTAGTTGTTCAATCCAGATATTACTAAACACAAAATAACTCAAAACTTCAGATTAATGCTTGCATCAAACTCAGTTAAAACTCTATTACACACCAAAACTTTTCTCGGGTATTTCAAAGAAGTTTATTACAACTAAGAAAATCTTCAAAGAAAAAAACGAAACTCTATACGCTTTCGGTAATTCTAAAAATAAAACTGACTCACCTATTTCTTTCTAAAGCAGTTCATAAATGAATGCAGAACGAAACACGTTATATTTTGTTATCACTCCCCACGTAACGTGGTGGTCTGCGATTACCGAATTCTAGCTAAGAATGGTCCGGGCATGTATGTAAGAAAATCCGGCAACACAGATACGGAGCAACCGCAGATCGCTCCCATGTTCTGGATGAGATAATTCGTCTGTCGGTTTCCTTTGCAATCCGACAGATGGCACTGCTCTACTATCAAGTTTCTCCTCATCTTTCATTTCATCATCACGATCTCTTATAAATAGGGAGTTTGAATGAGTGCTCTTAAAATAAAATTAATGAAAATAGTAATTAATTACCAATTTTTTTTTCTAAAAGCATCAAATCTAAAGTTTTTCTTAAAAAAAAAAAAAAAATACCAATTATTAAGAATTTCTAACTGGAAAATGAATTGTTTATTATCATTATTTTTAGAAGTATTAATTATTGATGTTATATTCTAATTTAAACTCTAAAAAAAGTTAATGGAATCCTTTTTAAAATATTTTATTTGTTCTCTTTTCTTAACAAAAAATAATATTCAAACATCAAAGTTACAAAAACAAAATATAGTTTAAACATCGAACTTCTAAAATACTTCGAATTTGTATAGTGTAAAGTTTTAATAAATCGCATCTGTTTAATATTTTTATAGCTGGCATCTGCTTTCCTTAAGATAACCGATATTTTATTTTTTCAAGTAATTGAACAAATATTTTTATTCGGAAACAATGAGTTACATATACTATTAATCAAATTATAAATAAATATATTTGAATGTAACTCTATGTACTTGAACAAAATAATTCATACTTAATTTATAATTAAAATTTCAGTGTTTTTTCTCTAATAGATTAAAATTAAGTAAAGATTTTAGTAGTTAAATAGCGGAAACAGAGTTAACAATAATTAAATAGCGGCTAAATAATTCTAGGTGTACAAGATAACAAACTGAAACGGTAATACCAACTTCGTCTGAAACAAATTTAACCTAAGAAAGTCGTGTAATAAAGGTTTACTTGAAAAAGAAAAAAACTTGAGATGAATTATCAACTTGAAATAAATTTCCTTCGTTTCAAATGTTCGTTAAAATGAAACACGGTAAATGCGTTTGATTGTAATACAAACAAACGACGGTTTCTTTTTTCAAACTATACTTAAGGTTATTTTTTAATAACGATTATTTTACAACTAAAAATTTTTTAAAAAAAGCGGAACAGTCAGACATTTTTCTTTAAGATAAATTTCAAAGGTACATACATGTTTTTAAGACTTAAAACATTTCGTTTAAATGTCAATATTATATTTTAATTATTGAAAGAAACTTCAGAAATCCATTGGTTTATCAATGACCAATTGAACAAAATTCAATATTTACTGATAATAAAATCAATTACATTTCTAGATCATAAAAACAATTACCGGCTCACTGATCTAAAAATGCACAAATGAACAGAGCAGTATTATCGAAATTGGGGATATTTTTTTTTAATTCTTATTCACAAGAAATAATGCATAAATGTTCAATTTGGAGTAGACGCATTACTTATATAGCCTTTTCTATTGAGGAAAGGTATAGATATTTTTGTATCTATTTTTACGATCAATATTTCGCTAAATTGGAACAAATTAATTTCAATGATTTGTATTACAATGCTTAAAAAGATATATGCTTTTAATAAAATCATTTTATTTTCAAAAATTTGATGTCCAAAACTGTTTTACAGAAAATATAATATTTTTAATAAAATTTCAAGGAATTTTTAGTAACTAAATAACAATAGGAAATTGAAAAACATTTTGATATTTTTTTAAAGTAACATAAATTAAAGATTCGATTTTTTTTTTAAAAAAATTATAAGCACTATTTGAGAAATGATCTTCTTCCGGTTAAACAAATTTAATTTACAATAACACTATACATCAACAGTTAAATCGCACACACAGCACATGGGCGTTTGCTTCTATTACCTAATACTTTAGAACTGAACTCAAAAGATGAGTGAACTTCTAGCTTTTATAAACAAATTTTCATTTTACCCTTACGAATTCATATATTTTATTTTAATGGCATCATTTAATAGATGATTTCCTAGTACATTATTCACGCTATTACTTTTATCTCGTATTTTTGAGCTTGACTCAGAAGACAATCTGAAGTTTCTGAATAAAAATTAAAAGCAAAAATATCAACCGTAAATAAGATTGCATTTGCTTTCTGGGTTTGAGATTGCGCCAATAAAAAGAAGATCTTTAATCGAAAACGTTAAAGAAAAGATTTATATAGGGATAGAAATCTTTTATATCAGAACTTTTTAAACAACCTGCAGTTAGCTACTTCAAACTGAGTATTATAATTAAATTTGAGAGTTTCGAGAAATATTAACAATAAATTTTTTGTAACTTCATTAAATTATTTTAAACGTAACACCATAAATTACTTTAAACGTCTAAATAATAAAGAAATAAAAGTTTGAAGGGACAATTATGTATTATAATTTTATTTATAGATTTAACACATTCTATATTGTTTTTAACGTCATTAAATGATTTTTATCGTAACACCATAAATTATTTTAAATGTCTGAATAATAAAGAAATGAAAACGCAAAAGGATAAAAAAAATTATTATAATTTAGCTTTAACTTTATTTATAGATATAAAATATCATTTTCAAAAGAAATGTGGGACATTTTTAAACGGTGGTAGAAGTTCAATACGAAACTGATGCGTCCTACTTTTCTCGTTTTAAGTTTGTAAACTCCTTTTTAGTCAAATTGTAAGATATAGTTCATAACATTTTTGTTTTTATTGTTATTATTTTCCTCTCTTTCCTTTTGCATCTGTTAGGTTGTTTCTGTTGGAAAGTAGGGGGAAATTTCTTCTGGCGATAAATTTCGCTTGCACCATTTAGAGAACAATTGTAACTTTTATAACTTTTCAGAGTGATTCATTGAAAAATTAGTATTCCAGTAGAGATTTCAGTTTTCTAGCTTGCTGCATTTATATTGTAAGATTCCACTTTTCAGACACGAATCTAAGTTCTTAAAAATGTAATAGTTAAAGAACGAATTGCTCCATCAATTCAGCTTCCAGAATTTTATATTCTTTTTTTAATTTTATCTAAAATTTAGTTTCAAAATTGTTTTTTAACTGAAATATTTTTTGTTTCAATGCAAAAAAAATTATCGTAATAATATTTTAAAAACAAAATAATTCTGCCAATTCAGCAGTTGAATTGTTTTCGTTCCATCATAAAATTTAGTTTCGAAATCTTTTCCTCTGTGAAGAACTTTAGTGCTTCCAATAATAATCCAAACTGAAAAAGGGCATAAATTAGAAAAACGCATAAAACTGCCCTCAATGTACATCATCAGCATGTTGTCCCTCAGCTTGCTGTGCGACCAAACTTAATTTGAGTTATAGATAGAGTAAAGCAATATACTTATTGAATGTAAAATATCGATATTTTCTAAACATCGGTGTCTCGATATTTAAAAAAAAATTTCTGAATCTATCGCAAATAAACTTTCTTACGATAAATATCGAAAATTCGATAATTATCGACAACAATATATATCGAACTAACTATATTATTGACGAATATTACTGGCGACGATAAATATGAAGTACTATAATATTTTATTGCCATATCAAGTTTTATGATATAACTATCGAATATGATATTATCGTCATTTTTGTAAAGTTTTAATTAGATAACGAAATTATTGACCCATGTAAAAACAGTATAAAATAAAATAAGAGAAATATTATGTTATATGGGTAAATATAGATATTTTCAAACAATGTATAGAAATATTAAATTTTCTATATCATATAGCACTATTCATTTACTCCAATCTGCAGAATTCGATATTCTCCGATAAATTACTCTGCCATTTTAAAAAGTGGATTATGATTGATACATTATTGAACTTAATTTTTAAATACTTTTGCTAAATATTCACTCAACGATTAAAAAAAAGCACTATAATGATAATTGAAAATAAGTTGAGAAAAAAAAATGTATAACTAGTAGACACACAGATAGAAAATGAAAATATTTTAGAGGAAGTAATTTAACCAAGTTCTTTTGGAAATTTCTAACGTCATTTACTAACGTCATTTACTATAACGTCATTTACTAACTTTATAAAAACGTTGTATTTAAATCTAATGCTTAATGGAATCAATTAAATGTGTAGTAAGAGTTGAAGGAAGAAACAGATTTCTTATTATGAAACTACCATCAACTTATTGCTGTTTGAAAAAGAAATACGGAGGAAAATCCAATTTGTCTCAACTTTGAGAACTACGGGAAGAATACAAGTGATTTACCTAAGTAACATAGCAAAAGTTATCAGGTAGCAATCACCTTACATTCGTCTCATATTCACCTTACGTTCACTTTACATAATTTCTCTTACATTTTACCAAAATCGCAGGTATTTCTCAGTTTAAAATGGCAACATCTATAATAAATCATTTTTTTCCTTTGTCCCAAACAATAATTTAAGTAATGTTAAACAATTTATTATGAGTTAGAGACTTGCTTGAATTCATTTTGTTAAGTAGTCATAAATAATAATCCAAGTGTTAAATAATTAGTTATGCGTCAAGTATTTATTTAGATTCATTTTGCTAGGCTGTCTTAATATAAGCAATGTTAAAAAATTAGTCATACGTAAGTAGTGTTAAATTAAGTAATCATAATTAAGTAGTGTTAAAAAATGAGTCATTTCACTACAGAGATGGAAATAAATTTAAAATTCTTCAGCTTACTAAGGTAAAATGTCCGGAACTCATATTTACTGTGTTTTGTGTGATTTACATCTGCCAGACAGATTTTAAATTATTATTTAAATTAATAAAGATTATTAATGTTACTAAACATAAGGAACTTAAGCATTTTTTTAAATTAATTTTGTTAGGTTATGTTAAGTAATAATTTAAGTAGCGTTAAACAATGGGATACCTGCAAGTTGCGTAGTGTGGGTATTTTGATCCGGATTCGTTTTTGAGCATTTTGGAGCAAAAATTTTCCCCAATGCGGAAGAGCTATAAGATTTAGCCACTTATCGCTACAAACGACTCAACTAGGATTATAGGATTTCTTATTTATATGTAAACAAACCGTTTGAAATTTAAGCGCTATATCACCATAAGTAACA